GGTTTAGGGCTTCTTTCTTTTCTCTTATGGTTTAAAAATTAAAACCAATTGCCCAAAAATTTTTGTTTTAAAAAATTAAAATAAATAAAAATAACCCATGGGTTAAAAGAATTATTGGGTTAGGAAAATTATAGGGTCCAAATTTCCAACATCCCTAATTATAAATGTTTTCAACAAAAAACATATAATAATAATAAAAAAAATAAAACAACCAAGTCCCATGGTCTTCGACAAAAGCTAAAAATATCACCTCATTAATTATAATTATAAACTCACAACTCACGACAGCCCTAGAACAAAACAAGGTAGAACAATTAAAGTAAATCAAAATAATTTTCAATTAAACCTCGAGACTTGAGATGAAACTAACCTGAGTAACGCGAGGCGTTACAAAAGTCATGTATAATACCAAAGATCTAACCAGCAAGATCCTCGGACTGACATGGGAGGGCCCATACAAAGTCACTAAAGTAGTTCGAGCAAGCACCTATGCCTTGGAAGATCCGCGTGGGAAAACCTTACCCCATCCATGGCATGCTCAGCACCTCAAGAGATACTACCACTAGCTTGGTGATACATTCCATTTATTTTATGAGCGCTTTATGTTTTGACACTCGCTTATCTCAAACGACTGGGTTATGTTATTGTACCTACTTCTCTACCTGAACAATTTATATTTTAATAAAGTTTTTGTCATTTGACATGATACTTGAGTTCTTATGTTTGAGTGAAAACAAATTTCTCAAGTAGGGGACATTGTGCGTAAATATCTACAGTTGATCAAGAACTCAGAAGGGGACAGACCAAGAAGCAGGCCAGAAAAGGCTCAGCATGGTCAAAACTATAGTAGATGAATAAATTCAGGATATAAAACCATTAGGTGAATGCGAAACAAGTTGGAATCCAAAGACTTCGACTCCAGCTCTACTAAAGTTAGATCCCAAGGGCGAAAATGAATGGTAAAGACCAGATGGATGAGAAACCAGGCCCTAGAGACGTGATCATAACCAGCCAATGTGATAAAATATGAAAACCAGAAAGACTTCTAATTCATGAGACAACACAATATCGGTACACAACCAGTAGTAAAAACTAGGTGTTTTGAATCCAAAACTGGATACAAAAGCTTTTGGTAGAAGCTCAATGAATTAAGAACCTTAGTGTTGGCTAAGAATCCAAACAACTAATGATGTATGTGAACTGTCTTGTAGAACAGGCCTCACAACAACCACGAGTAACGAGTACTCTCAAAACAGGGATCTTAACATGGTCACAAACCTTAGTTTTGAGAGTGGGGGCTACTGTTATATGGAGAAATACGGTTCAAATGACGGTAGAAGATTGAACTACATTAGAAGAAGGGCAATTGGTACCACCGACAGATAGGGTCGGCCCAAAGCATAGAGGTCAGCCCACAGAGAGCCGACCCCACCTTGGCACCGAGGCGCCGACCCCTTCTTGGCCTTAGGTCGAGAAGGTTCTCGGTGCTTTTCTTTCTCTCTCTCTCTCGGTCCCCGTTCCAAATATATGATGTTCGGAGCCAAGGCCAAGCCTCGTCCCTATTCATCTACTAATGTTGGAGGCATCCCGGCCCATAAGCCCATGGTATCAAACCTAGTGTTGACATCTTGTGAAACCCTACTGGCAAATCGACTATAAATAGGGAGCGGATCACTCCTTGAAGGTAAGTCAAAATTACACTTTCAAGTGCCTTACTTGTTTAGTGATTTCTCTCATACCTAATTTAGGCATCGGAGCCAGTGTGACACCGGGTTAGAGTTGTTTGGTTTTGCAGGTATCCGATCCCTTGGAATTCGAGTTTGATGAACGAGGTGGAGTGAACCGGTCTACCCGGATCCAAGCATCAACAGGGGCTAATCGGCATACATATGAATTAGTACAGTGGTCGTGCCAAAATTACTTTCAAGGTAGTAGTTTAACTATGAACAAACTTTCGATCCTATTTTGTCGTTTCTTTTTCCTTTAATTTATTTATTATAATTATTTTAAATATTTGGAATATAGAAGTGAGAATAATAATAATCCTCCATTGTTCTTTCTTGAGAAGCAAGTAGAGGGGATGATGGCATGATCACCAATATTCAAACAATCCTTTTTCTAAAAATTGAAACTTTCCCATTTTAGGTTTGATTGCAGTAGGAGAAATGTAGAGGGAGAGAGATCTCACTAAAAAATGTAATATTGGCATTTCTCAATTCTTCTGTAAATTGTGTAAACTTCCCCATTTTAGTGTTCAATGAATCCCCAACTTTGGTATAAATATAATTGTATAGTCATTATTTTGATGAACATATTTGGAATTAGAAAGTTGAATTTACGTTTGGTAATTATATTAGCTTCATAGATTTAGTGATTTACTGTCGGATTGAGTTTTAATTTATCCCACCTGGTATTGAAATGTTGAGTATATGTTTAAAATATAGTATTACTTATTCCATRTTCGTGAACTTCATTGACTTCTTAAACCCAATATTTAACCTAATTATTGAGTTTGCSTAGTATAGAATTTGAAGGTTTAGTCTACATTAACTTTACCATAATTACGAGTGAGGCGACACGAAATATATTCAATAAAATAAAATAATTAAAGGTAMAATTTGATGGGTGATCTAAAAACAGAAATTTGAAATCAAAGTATTTAATATAAAATATAATTGAATTTCATGATTTCTATGTTTTTTTTTAAACACATGATATTTGTAAACTATATAGTTACCTGTTTAATTGGATCTTATAAATTGTTAATTTTAACATATATTTTATAAATTTTATAATTTATAATATATTATGCTTTACATAAATGAAACAAATTTATACGTGAAATAATATGTTTTTCAAAGGATTTTTTATAATGTCATTATGCATTTTAAAGTTTCTAATTCAGAATAAAACACGTTCACAAAATTCAAAAATAGTTTTAAAAAATAATTCTACCAAATATTTATTGAATCCATTTAGTAAAACAAAATTCAAATTGCGTACAAACTATAGGTCCATTTTCGGGAGCCGAGAAATATAATCAGAGAGCAGAAACAAGGCCAGTAAACGAGAGGAGGGAAGACAGTATTTTGAATATTGTAAAGTTTTTCGTAGAATATGTTACAGTATCATAAGCAAAACTCATGAATTGTAAGATATTAAAATAAACCTCAGAAACCAAAAAGGACAAAGTAGAAGGTGCAACTTGAAAATCTAACACCTTTCTCAAGATTACACTACTGATCTAATCATCAACCTCGGCTTTAATCTCCTTCTGCAATTCTTCCTTGTATTCCTCGAAAGTTCCAGGGAACGATTCCACGGTACCGTTTTCAACAACCCAAATTTCACTTTTTTCTTCATCCTCACAGACACGTGATATGAGTCGGGAATCATGACTGACCAGAACAACTCCACCAGTGAACTCGTCTAAGGCATCTGCAAGTGCATCAATACTCTGCATGTCCAAGTGATTCGTCGGTTCATCAAGCAGTAATATGTGTGGCTTCGACATGGAAATTGAGGTAAAAACAACCCTGGCTTTTTGGCCCCCAGATAGTTTAGCAATTGGCGTGAGGTGATTGTGGCTAGGGAGTCCAAATTTCCCCAACTTAGCACGAACAGCCTCCTGCTTGCTAAGGCCCTCTTGATCGGGATGAAGACGAAGAAGATATTGAACTGCCGTTTCCTCCATTGTCAGAAGGTCTACAAAATGCTGTGAGTACCTCCCAATCCTCAACTTCTGACTCCTCCGAACTTCGCCTTCTGTTGGTACCAGATCACCTGCTAGGAGATTCAAAAGAGTAGATTTTCCCGCTCCATTGGGCCCGACAATAGCAACGCGTGTTCCCATGTCAA